TTTACCGCTGGTAATGTAGCTGAGCGATGAAAACCAGTCTACAGCAGACATGATCCTAGTTCCAATCTTGAAGTATAAGGGTATACGTTACACGTTACCGACCTCTTTCTCTCCCTCTTTTTCTCTTTTTCCTGCCCTGTTTCTTCCTCCCTCCCTTCACTTCTCCCCCTCTGTTTCTCCTTTTATCCTGCACTCCTTCTCCCTTCCTTTCTTCCTCTTATTCGCGCTCGCTCTCTCATTCCTCTACTTCTCCCTCAACGGTTTCTTCGTTTCCTTTTAAAATTCCCTACACTTTTCATTGCTATCTTTTCCGCCCTTGTCTCTGGCTCTTTCTCATACCATCTATCCTCATCCCTATCTCGGTCTATGTGTGAATTTGGTCTTCTCTTTGTCTATGCATCGATACACGCTCCTCCCTCCCTATCTATCGCTATTTCTATCTTCTTCTCTTTCAGTCTCGACACATCTGCAAAGTCCCATCTCTCTTTTTCTCTTTCTCTCTGTCTGTCTCGTTCCCTCGCACATTCTCCCCCATCTCTCTTGTCATAATTATTGCATTTTACATATATCTAATAAACTAATATTAGACAACGTAGACACGAACCTGCGAGCAAACGTGGCTGTCCATTTGAAGTACTGCTCGTCTCGCTGTTGGAACATTTTCCCATATATTCACAAACCGATAATGTTGACGCAACAGAAGTCGATCACGTGATGTGGGTTGAACGTTTAGAATCGTTTCTAATTTCCAGCGACATAGTCGCACGATATTTCATAATTAGCCAATGACAGACGTAGGTAATGTTTTCATCGGCACGCGACAAAAACATTTCGTAACAAAATTTGTCTGCTCTGCTGTCGTGAAATGGCGTCTATCGAACAAATAATTCCAGGCGTTCAGGGAAATTCTGCTTTGTATGATCTGGGGCATCCGTCGTACAAGGATGGCAAGTTAAAAGAAAATATTTGGATATCATTGGCACAGGAGCTCGAAATCAATGGTAAGGCCATGTAACTTTAATAAGCAATAGCAGAAGGAGTTTACGTCGCTTGTTTATATCCGCCGTTGCGTAGCGAAAAAGCAGACGAACGCTAGTCGTTAACGCTGCAGTGTGGCTGGGCCAGTCGCTGCGATTTTGACGATCGAACGTTAAGGTTGGTCGTTGTCGCTTCAGTGTGTCTTGGCCTTTAGCAACGCGACTTCAGTCGTTCTAATCGTGTTAAACTTCTCAGCGACTCTAGGAATGGCCAGATTCAAAGCCGCGCGCACCACATTGATTTTCTTGCGTTGCATGTCGGATGCTCGTGTGAATGCCTCACCGAGACTTCTACAGCCTCCTATTGCTTAAAAGAGAAAAGGTCGGGCCGGTCGGCAAAGATGTGTCCTTTCTCTATGATAGCCTCTGCCCACGTTTCGTAAGTGCTGACAACAACTGCGCGCTTTTGGCCTAAGTTCAAACTGAATATGTTCCCGTATCGCTCCGACATCTTGATTAAAAAGATCTCCGGTCGCTTGCCAAGTTCGACCATGCAACCGACGACGGGCCAGACTTACCCCGCAAGCGGTTTGGTTTGAGTAGCCAGTGGCCAAGAAGCAGGGCTAGAGCAACAATCGTCAGGTTCATAGGGGTGACCCACGTTGCCACACTTACAACAGCCATCGTTAGAGCCTTGAAGTTGTGAACCCTCTCCTAGGTGAGCATATAGTGTCTATGCAGTGGTGTCTTTGCCTATGGTGGTATTAAATACCCACTCGTCAAGCACGCGGTGCAAAGTAATATAGACGTGATGTTTTATCCGGGCGTCGTCAGTGCGACTGCACTTTTAGAAGTAGGAAAATTGGCGCACCACGCGTACAAAGAGTATGAACAAATTTAGTAACGAAATAGGCGATTATTATAGGTATTTGTTTATAACTTCTATTCTTGTCTATTTCTCCGCTCGCTCCCTCTTCTCTTGTTAACTAACTCACTGGTTCTCTATCTCCTTGTTTCTCTCTCTTTCTTTCTCATTCTGTTCCTCAAACTATCTATAGATCTAGGTATCTCTCTCGCTCGTTCTTTAACACACACACACACACACACACACACACACACACACACACACACACACACACACCACACACACACTCACACTCACACTTACACACATATAACACACACACACACACACACACACACACACACACACACACACACACACACACACACAACACACACACACAGTGGGTAGTCGAGTCGCGCCCCCGAGTCCGAGTCCGAGTCCGCCACCCCCGAGTCCGAGTCGAGTCGAGTCCGCACCCCCGAGCCGAGTCCGAGTCCGCGCCACCCGAGTCCGAGTCCGAGTCCGAGTCCACACCACCCGAGTCCGAGTCCGAGTCCAGTTTGATAAAAAAGGGAAAAATCGGAAAAGGGAAAAAATCGCGAAAAAGGGAAAAAGGGACTAAGGAAAAGATCGCAAACAGTGCATCGCTAGACATTCGAAAGTGTATAGCGATGTTTCACGTGACGTCATAGATCAGGTCACGTGTATTTGTTATGTGTTGTGGTTGCAGAGCGAAGCGTGCTGCTTGACATTTACAGATGAATGACACTTGTTCTGATAAAAAGCGCTGTGTATGTAGTGCACGTACACGTGCGTGCTGCTGGTGCGTGCGTGTGCACGTACAGTACACGTGCGTGCATGCGGTGCGTGTGTGCGTGCGTGCGTTCGTGTGAACTTACACGTGCGTGCGCTGCGTGCGTGTGCACGTACACGTGCGTGCGTCCGTGCGTGCGTGTGCACGTTACACGTTGCGTGCATGCGTGCGCGTGCACGTACACGTGCGTGCGTGCGGTGTACGTACACGTGCGCTGCATGCGTGCGTGCGTGCGTGTGTGCGCGCGTGTGCAGGTACACGTTTGTGGTGCGTGTGGCGTGTGCATGCTGTGCGTGCGTGCGTACGTGCGCTGTGTGTGCAGGTACACGTGCGTGCGCTGCGTGCGTGGTGTGCACGTACACGTGCGTGCATGAGGTGTGTGTGTGTGCACGTACGCGTGCGTGCGTGCGTGCGTGCGTGCGTGTGTACGTACACGTGCGTGCGTGTGAACTTACACGAGCGTGCGTGCGTGCAGCGTCCGTGTGTGTGCACGTACACGTGCAGCGTGCGTGCATGCGTGTGCAGGTACACGTTGTCGTAGGCGTGCTGCTGCGTGCGTGCGTGTGCGCGTGTGCAGGTACACGTGTGTGCATGTGTGCGTGCGTGCGTACGTGCGTGTGTGTGCTACACGTAGTGCGGCGCGTGCCTGCGTGTGCACGTACACGTGCGTGCGTGCGTGCGGCTGCGTGCGTGCGTGCGTGTGCACGTACACGTGCGTGTATGCGTGCGTGTGTGCTCGTGCGTGCGGTGCGTGTGGTTGTGCGCGCTGTGCACGTAGACGTGCGTGCGTGCGGTGTGCGTGTGCACGCTACACGTGCGTGCATGCGAGCGTGCGTGCGTGTGCACGTACACGTACACCTGCGTGCATGAGTGTGTGCGTGCGTGTGCACGTACACGTGCGTGCGTGCGTGCGTGTGCTGTATCGAACAATATCACGCATCTGCTTGCTGCAACTGCGCATGAAAACACAGAGACACGAGTCATACGAAACGTGTCAAAGTAACGGATCCATTCTGTTTTTACCACGAATGACATGGCTTGTTGACACCAATTAGAGAGTGCTAGTACCTTCGAAGTGTAGAAGAAGAGAAAGAGTGTAGGAAAAGCGCAAAAGGGACGAGTGACAGCAGATTCAAACCAAAGGGACAAGAATCTTAATCGAGCCATTGAAAACGTTACAAGATTTGGCCGTGTATCTAGAAACCTAAGAAGTTTAGTTTAAATTCTTGTAAACTGCGTCGTGTTACAATATGTACAGTTGTGTACTATGTATGTAGTGCCTCGAGCCGGCCTCGACCCGAGTCTCGAGTCGGAGGGCTCGAGTCCGAGTCCGAGTCGAGTCATTGCACTCCGAGGCCAAGACCGGACCGCAGACCAAGGAAACGGTCTCGAGGCCGGTCTCGAGGCCAAGACCGCCTCGAGACCTACAACTCTCACACACACACACACACACACACACACACACACACACACACACACACACACACACACACACACACACACACACACACACACACACACACACACACACACACACACACACACACACACATATATCACGATGATCAGATTTGCCTCTGAAAGCTGGATGACTTCTTGGTAACACAGTAAAATCTATTGCGTTAACCGATAACTGATTGCTGTTTGCATAAACGTTTCAAGAAAACATGCGTGTGCGGTGTGGTACGTTCCTTTAATCGAAGGGCAGGAATCCAAAAACATGCCGTGGTTACATGGTTTACAAACTATAAATTAAAACTCAAAATCATTGAAAATTGAATGATGTCATTTAGCTGTTACCAGGATGCATATGAATGTATTTGTGGTAATGCGGTAAATTTCTGTGGGAAATTTACAGGGCGTATATAAAATCGTAACGCGACAAATCAATATGGGCAAAATTTATGAAACTAATACAAGCTTCCATAACAGTTTACGCGAGCTATGGTTTTCATACCGTCATTAAACTTCTGTGAAAACGCAGTTAAACACGTACTGTATAATTATATTGGAACATATACTGTACTCATCCTATCACTAATTGTACGATCATAATTCTCATAGATCAAACTATTTTAAAATGCCACTATACGGACATCTTTAGAATATTAGGTATAATTAAAATACAGTCGAACTAGATTTTGCGTTTAATAGCTTGTTACACGGCTTGGCCGGAGGCGCGGCGATAAAAACATCCAATATAACACCTACGCATTACGTCATCGCCGACTAATCACGGAGCGACTATCTCACTGCTTCATTATCCATCGCATTTTTTTTCACAAAGCGCTTATCGCTTTTTAATCATTTTTAAGCACTGCGATTTATTTTGCGTGTAATTTAACGCCTAGTTGGTACTAACCGTCAGGGTTTTCCGGTCATTTCCATCCGTGTAAATGTCGTCGAAGTAGGACGCGGAATCAGAGAGTAGTGATCCGCCTGACATGGGAGGTCGGTCCTTGGATAAGTAGGATCCGGGCATCATAGCTAGCTCATCTCTGGGACCAGGGTGAACGGATGGTGCGCCTGTAGCAACACTCGCGTTTATTATTATCATTATTATTATTATTATTATTATTATTATTATCATCAGCAGTAACAGTAGTAGTAGTAGTAGTAATAGCAGCAGTAGCTAGTATTAGTAGTAGTAGTAGCAGTAGCAGTAGCAGTAGCAGTAGCAGTAGCAGTAGCAGTAGCAGTAGCAGTAGCAGTAGCAGTAGCAGTAGCAGTAGCAGTAGCAGTAGCAGTAGCAGTAGCAGCAGCAGCAGTAGTAGTAGTAGTAGTAGTAGTAGTAGTAGTAGCGCGAAATACAAAAAACTGCAATTATATGTACATTCAGTGACGTAGGACGGTCTACACAAAATTCCACATGTATGACTGTAACACATGGTGAAGATGGACTTGGAAAACCCCACACATTTGTTATAAATCAAGTATCTCGGTGGATTTTCATGACGTCGATATGGCTAGGTTGTATATTACATCGGTATGGTCGTATTTAGTAATAGCAACAATAACTGAACTGAAAAATGGTCCTATACTTGCTCCACGGCACACGATGATTAGTTACATTATGATCATCGCAGCGCTGACACAAATTAGCAACCAATTAGCGATAATAGCGACAGGAACAGCGCGTGCTAGCCCACGGTTGCTCACACTCAACTATTTATTATGCCTATTATAATTCACAGCACGATCTCTATATCGCAGCTAAATCCTCTCACATTGCATATTATATTCCTGTGTGATTCGGGATCGCGGCAGGGTAATGGCGCCCATGCCTGGCAAACCCTATACAAAACCCGTAGCAGGAAGCGTTGCAGGAAAACAGATCCGCCATTTGTTCCGCCATTGCTTCGCAGCTGACATCGCACTACATATCGTCACGAACATAGTATTGATGCAGTGAAGACAAGGCAACCGCAAAACTGCACCAAATACTATATTCATGACGACGTAGTGCTGTATGATATCCCGCTCATGCATGCATGCACCTGTCGGCTGACAGCGATGTCGGTCACCATCGCCCACGGGAAGCTTGTCAGAATTCGGACGCATCAGACGAGCAGTTCACGTCAGAGCCATGAAATGAGGTCCTAAACTCCACCCATAGCACTGACGCAGCTGACTCGCCAGCGACTACCATAATTTATCTAGAATAATTTCTCTATACTATAACAACTACCCTATCTTCTCATTTGCCCGCGGGGATAAGTTATTAGAATCTCAGACGTCCAATTGCCGGCGGCTGCCCCTGATATGATGGATAGGAATTAACGCGGGCGGACTATACACACGCGCACACACGTCTGCAGGCGAACGAATACCAGTCGGACATGCACACGTACCGGCACGCACGCGGACACACTTACATGTCCGCGAGCAAACACCACAGGAAACGCATATGCACATGCACACACATACACACGCACACGCACACACACATGCACACACATAGGGGAACCCGGGGCAAAGTTGGCCAAAACGCTGTGAAAGAGCGAGACAAAGTGAAATGTTTGGCTCTAATCCTTTGGCTTAGGACAAGAACTAACAGGCGGTACAACAAAGTTAATTTAAAAAACGACTTTATTGAAATATACAAAATTATAAAATTTATAAATATTTCATTTTGCCCCAGACTCCCGGGGCAAAGTGAAACCTGTTATGGGGCAAGGTGGAATGTCATTTTACTCCATGTATATTGTGTCAAAAATGTTGCGTCCTCTTTCAGTGTCTAACTCTGAACATCAAATTCATAGTTGCGTACCATTTTGCCTAAAATATGAAAGAAAAATGCCATTATAGGACGCTTATTCAATAATTAAGTCTAGGGAAGACACAGTTATGCCAATGTTACCGAGTTAGGTGTTAAAATGATGCAAAGACAGACATAGGCCTACCTGAGTACTAATTCAGATCATAATAAATAATCTGATAATAATGATATACATTTAGGCCTATCAAATAAGGCCGGGGCAAAGTGGAACCCTGTTCCACTTTGCCCCATCCACTTTGCCCCGAAGACATGATAGTTTCTAGACATGTGGCGTTACGCTGTGCAGACAACTACGCAAAGAATGTCATTATGCATATGGCACACATAGGCCTTAGATTCAACAAAATAGCCTACATAAGAATTCCACAAGATGACAGTGATTTAGCAGATGATTCATTTTTAAGAAATAACCGTTTAAACACATAAAAAACAGACTTTCGTCCAAAAAAATTTACAGCTGATTCATGCAAATGGCATCCATCAAAAACGATGCATCATCAACTGAGCTTCTAATGAAAACAGTCACAGATAGATGGGGGCATCAACATAGATATGCTGAGACAATTCCACTTTGCCCCGTGTTCCGCTTTGCCCCGGGTTCCCCTACACATACACACGCACACGCATACGCACGCGCGCACACACACACGCTCGCACGCGCAGCGCCAGAGAAAATTCGAAGATATATATGGTAAATTAAATGCCGTTACACTCAGAGCACTCGGTTCTCTTTGTAAAAGGCTCGAAATTTCTTCAGGCAATTTGACATTAAAATCGAATCAGCTTCAGGTAGGCACAGCAGTTTGACATTGTTTGCATCGGTGGTACAAAGAAACCAACATGAATTTAAACGATCAAAAATATTTTTGTGATCGCGCATGGCTACTCGTGCATAAAACCCGTGAGTACTTGACAAAGGTAGAAGTAAAAATGTCTGAGTGTTCGTTAGCCATTTCCTTTCAATGCCTGATTGCATGTGTAATCGGGCAGCCTTGCTAGAATGATCCTACTACGTGTCTCAGTGATTCAGTGATTCGAGAAACTCTTAAAGGTCATTATCTACACGATTCATAGATTTAGCACAATTCTCATTACGGTGTATAGCATCTCTTTGCAGTTGACCTTATGAATGTTAATTGGGTTTAGTCACGTTTCGATCGCGCTGTGTGTGACTATTGCTCATTTATCAATCGCTGCAATTTTCCCGTTAAACGATTGCTAAGCGATTTTTCATAAGAATATAAAATTAGTGATGCTTAACTAAAACAATATGGTGTCACATAATACGACATGGTTTTTCATTTAGATTTGTATTGCGTGTTTTTATCAATCACGGGTACAAGCATTTACAGCTCTAAAGTGGCAGGCTAAAGGTACACACATCCACAAAATTAGCGAGTAGAAATGAGAAACGCGTAATACCATACTGCGTGTCATATCATTCACTCCTTCCTATATAATAAACCATATATAACTCCTATATAACTAACCAACCCATTATTATACTGTAACACCGTAGCATCAAACCATGATTTGAAACGATGGAAAATGAACGGAGGACACACACCTCATACCTATACAATAAAATCAACCAACTAACCCATTTTCATACTGTAACACTGTAACATCAAACTATGATTTGAACGAGGGAGATCGAATTAACGGAGCACACAAACCGCGACCATGCTCTCGCGACTCCATTTTTATAGTTAAAAGTAATTGACTCACCGCTAAGCAGTACGACTTCCTGTGTTCGATTCACCGATCCGTACCGATTCGTGACACTGATCGTATAGTTTCCGTTGTGCTTCACAATGTTGCTCTGAAATCCCAGATAGCCTGGCGGCGTACAAAGGAAGATATTGCTCACAATCCCGGTAAGAAAATTCGCTTGGTGCAAATACACATTTAAGCATCTTTACAGGGTAAGATCAACATGTGAGAGTGTGTGTGCTTTCGAGCGTGCGTGTGTGCGTGTGTGTGCCTACGAGCGTGCGCGTGTGCGCGTGTGTGCTTGCGTACGGTGGCCCATATAAACATCTGCAACTTCATTTGAACGCAACACATGTTTGCAAGTACGCACGTAAACAAGTTGGCAAAGCAACTAATTATCGAAGCAAATACAAGTTTCCTAAACGGAAATAGGTGGCAGCACTATCGCCCCCCTCCCCCTACCCCCTACCCCCTCACCCACCACCAATTTCCGTTTTGCAATTTGCTGTGTGCTTGCTTACTTGTGTTTGCGTACATGCGTACATGCGTGCTTGCGTGCTTGTGTTTTGTTTATGTGGGCCACCGTACGCAAGCACACAAACGCACACGCGCACGCTCGCAGGCACACACACGCACACACGCACGCTCGAAAGCACACACACGCTCACATGCACGCAAGGAAACATACACATACGCACATGCACTCATATATTAACTAAAGATCCAACTATCAGGTCGCCACACGGTCACAGAACGGGCAATTATTATATCATGACAAGGAAAAATTCGAAACCACATTGTTCGGAAGAACTCCCAGCAGTGTACATAACTGCAAAACCACGCAATAGAAAAAACACAGATGCTGATGTTTCAGCAAACACAGAAAAATCACAGAAAAATCACAAAAACAGAAAAATCATCAAACCCATCCGCTATTATTCAAGCTATTATAACATTATATATACGCACCTCTGATGACATTGATGTCCACCTGGCGTGCGTACGTTCTATCGAGGGGGTTCTTGCCTTTCGCTAACCGCCGGCCGTCTCTAAACCATTCGATCACCGGCATCGGATTCCCAACGACAGCGTATTCTATGCAGGCGATCAAGTCGCAGTTCGTGCTTGGTTCATTCAGCATGATAATCTGAGGCGGGCCTGGCGGACATATACCATTCATTATTTTGCAAAAATTACCATTCTTCCGCGTGTCCTTTTCGGACTGCCCTATTTATTCGAATGGCAAAGAACACGAAACTCTATATTCGGTCGTTGACTTTATATTGATCTAATCGATGGTGCCATTATGAATAATGTAGATGAATAATATGAATGGATATCCCGAGGGGGAGAGGATACAAATCCACTCCTCGCCTGCCTCATCATGTTCTCATATCTGTTACCAATTATACACAACCAATCTTTGTATATTCCGCACAGAACTGTCTGGACGTTAGTCGTAAATCTGTGGCATGCAGGCTGCTGCTCTGACTATCGTTTGACGCTCTGTATGCATGGCGTTGAAACTGACGACACCACGACTCTTGTCGCTCGACTCTTCTCTTACCGGAGACGTTGAGGCGAAACGTGCCCTCCTGCTTGCCGACGATGTTCTTGGCGATGCACGTGACGTAACCGTTGTCTCTGACGGTGACGTTGGCGATGATCAGCGTCGTGCGCGTGCCGTTGCGTCGCTGCTCGGCGTCTAGCGTCAGCTCCGTCGTTATATTGTGCAGACTCCACTCGACGGTCGGCGCGGGTGTGCCAGCACTGTCACACGTCACCGTCACGCTGTCGCCCTCTCTCACGCTCACGATCTCGTCCGAGAGACTCACGGTCGGCTGGTCTGCAAAGAGACGCCGAAGATATAGTTGTGGAAACACCCACCAGGCTTGTTATACATACATAGAAACAGAGAGCTTAAACCTACTTATTTTATCGTGATTGCGTATTTATGTTATTACATTTCTTACGTTAGTTAACTAATCATTTCTCTATGCTGTTACGACAGACATGTCTTGTCTTCAGTTTGTTAACAAAAACCGGCAACAGCTATGATTGTCCCATAAGTTTTTTAACGACTTAAAGAGATCAGTCTAGCCGTTGCGTTAATGGCGACACGAAAACTCGGTTTGTGGTAGAGTAGCTTTCTATAGGAGTGAGTTTCTTTGTAGTACTCTAGGCCGTGTATATGCCCGCATTTCCCACGAACTAATTCTGTTTTAGGCTCATAAACATAGCTTTCTCGATTTTGCGCGCGATATCGCGTTCTCGACTTCAGCTTCACCATGGACACGTGTACTTTTGGGTACATGTCACATAAACATGAAACCGTTTATGATTTTCTATAACGGGCGCCTACGAGAAAAAATCCGTATTCCCTAGATTCGATGAATCCCGTGAGCTACCTAGTTGGTTTAGCTCTTGTCATGAATGTGATGAATGTGTTAGCAGTATAGTTTATCTTTGAATACGCCGCAGATATGGTGTTTATCTAGGCTCCAGGCTGTAAAATAACGACGTAACATGATAACGACGAGAAATCTAATAACATATACAAAGCAACGCCGCGCTTGATATGCAGTCCTCGCTCGCCGCGGGAATTCCCTCGTCTAAACTTTCAGAAAATGTTACGCGAGCGTATATTCATATACGGTGTTCGGCGCGCGTGTGAAATAGCTGAATAAATGATTCGATTATACATGTCGAATATATAGCGAGATGATAGCTATACGACGACCAGATGCGGTGCCATGTTATTTGAGGTGTGAACATGGGATGTTATATAGCGTGGGACGTGAAATGTCCGCGAATATTAACGCTAGCATGGGAAACGTTTTAAGCGGTCAGTCGGCGGTTTTGCGGTTAGTGTGATTCGCGATTCCACTCTCCAATTTAAGTTTAGAGCGCGTAAACATCTTGTATTTCCCCAATAAAGTTTGTTTTTTGCTTCGAACCTTTCACGGTTTTAGGCCTCTCCGCTTTCGAATTGCGTTAAGCGGGCAGCACACTTCAACATTTTCGTTGCTCGTACAGGCAATTTTCGTGGTCGCCACAAAAATGGCCAAGTGTGCGGGGGCCGGCAACGACCACTCACCACGGAAATTTAGTGGTGACCACGAGTTGCCGAGAATCAAACTGGTTTGATTTCTCACCACGAAAATTGCTCGTGGTGGCAACTTGTGGTGAAGTGTGCTGTGACGCGGCAACGACCACAAAAATTGCCGACCACGAAAATTGCCTGTACGACCAACGAAAATGGTGACGTGTGCTGCCAGCTTAACGTGTGGGTCAAATTACGTAGTTTAGGTATTAAATGTTAATTATGTTACGAAGTCTAAAACGCCAATTATACGTTAGTCACGTTTTCTTCACCTATAGTCTACCTGTCCCGATTTATCGTGCGTGTGACCCTTGTTCCATGTTGCAAGGTCAAGTGTGAGACCGTGGTTACATATCGGAATACTTACCAATGGTGAGAAGATACAAATGAGAAATGGTATTATCTTCTAAAGGTGAGAAAGGGGTAAACAATTTTACCATGAACCTTCGGATGATTGAGAATGACTGAGATTCGGGGTGACGCATCAGTACCCTCTTATTATTAGAGTTGTTGTGCATATAGAAGTCGGTGAGCGTTGGTGGTTACAAAATTTCGTAGTCGGAAAACATGCGCGGTCTTTCATTTAATCAGAGTTTAGGCCAATATTGGCAACGCACAAACGAACACCGCGTATACGCCTGCTTCGTGCAGCCTTATTCCCTCTATCAGAAGAATGCAGGTCAGACAATTAGGATAAAAAGCGCGAAAGGGAAGCCTTGATGTAAGATTGCATTCACTTTGTTGATGAAATAGAAGCTTTATAGCCGACGGACCGAGTTATATAAAAGACAGTAATAACATTCTATCAAGAGTCCATAATAGACATTTCTATTATGGACTCTTGACTCTATTAAACTTTTTGTTGTCGCCATCGTTGGTATATCCATGGCTGTGTGTGTTATTGTCGTTGTATAGTTTTCGTAGTCGTCGTCGTCGCCATTTTCGACGTCGTCGTCGTCATTGTCGTCGTCGTCGTCGTCGTCATTGTCGTCGTCGCCTCCGTAGTAAAGGGTGAATGTCATTGACATCGGTGAGTACATAATGCATCACGAAGTAGCTGTGATGTAAGGTTAATAGCGACTAATATTATTCCAGTAGTGGGAATATTCGATCCGCCTCAATCAGAGAATAAATGAAGATGAGTCTTATGTCTCTCTCTCTCTCTCTCTCTCTCTCTCTCTCAGACAGATACCCCGGGAACAATTACCCCCGGACATTTACCCCCGGACATTCCCCCCCCGGACAATTACCCCCTGAGACAATCACCCCGAACAATTACCCCCCGCGACATTACCCCCGCGACAATCACCCCCGCGACAATTACCCGACATTTAACCCCCGGACATTTACCCGGACAATCACCCCCGACAGTTTAGACCCCAGACATTTACCCCCGGACAATTATTCCCCGGACATTTACCCCCGGCATCACCCCGGATATTTACCCCCTGACAATTACCCCCTCCCGGGAATTTAACCCCGGACATTACGCAGCGAACATTATGAAGAG